AGAGACGGGGTTTCACCGTGTTAGCCAGGATGGTCTCGATCTCCTGACCTCGTGATCCGCCCGTCTTGGCCTCCCAAAGTGCTGGGATTACAGGCGTGAGTCACCGCGCCCGGCCTTGGAACTCTTGCTGTTTGAAACTGGAGAGTTATTTGCCTTGGGGGCCATCCTGTACATCATAGGATCTTCAGTAGTGCCCCTGGACACTATCCTCCAGCTGCCAGCAGCACCCCTCAGTTGGGATAAATGTCACCAGACATACGTGCCCCGGAGCACAATCGCCCTGGCTGAGAAACGCTGGTCTAGACGGCAGAGTCTCCTGCCGGGAGGCGTGTAATTTGTCAAACAATTACATGCGCTCGTGAGGCTGCAAGGATGTGTGTCTGCATCCTGGTTTCTCGATATTGACACGAGGGGCATTGTAGCCCAATTCATTCTGTGTTTTTGGGGTGGCTGTCCCATGCTTCCTGGGGTGTTGAGCAGCATCCCTGGTTCCCAGCCACTAGATGAGGACAGAAAAACGAGGGAGGAGAGGGGAGAATGGGGGAGAATGGGGGAGGAAGGGGGAGGAGGAGGGGGGAAGAGGGGATGGAAGTGGGGGCAGGAGAGGAAGAGAGGGTGAAAGAGGTAAGCGACGAGGGGAAGAAGAGGTAGGAGCACCTTCTCTCCTGGCGTGGTAGACCAAAAATGTCTCCGGACACTACCAGGATCCTCCGGTGGGCAAAAATTACACACCTCCCGGCAGGAAACTCTGCCGTGTAGACCAGCATTTCTCAGCCAGGACAGCTGTGCTCCTGGGGAAAAATCATGCCTGCCTGAAAGCCACCAACACACAGGTACACACACCAGACACAGACATATGTGTGTACGAATGTGGATAGATACGTGCATATCCACACGTCTATCTGTATCTATGTATACATCATCTGTCACTTATCTGTTTGTCCATCTGTCCCCTATCCTCTGTCCTCTGCCTACTATCATCCTGTCTGTCGGTATTAGGGGGTGATAAGTAGTTGGTAAGTAACAACGGCGTGCCCTCCAGCCTGCCCCAAGCCAGACTGGATTCTCTAGCGTGTTTCCCTTTCTGCAGGCTGCAGACATGTCCGATCACCCGTGCCTGCTGTGGTGACCTCGCCGCGGCACTCGTCGCCTGCAAAACACTGAGGAGCCTGAACCTCGACTGGATTACCTTGGAACCTGATGCAGTGGCGGTGCTGTGTGAGGCACTGAGCCACCCGGACTGTGCCCTGCAGATGCTGGGGTGAGTGACTTCAGAACGAGCTTAGTTCGCTGGCCGTTTGCTCAACTGCGACATGACGGATGTCAGGCTTGGAGGGTCGTTTGTGGTGGGGGCCTGTCCTGGGCCCCTGTGGACATTGTAAAATGTCATTGTAAAATGTAAAAACCGTTGACATTGTAAGATGTCATGCAGCGTTCTCGGCCTTTCTCATGAGTTGCCGGTAGCGCTTCCCTCAGTTGTGACAATCAAAAGAGCTCCGGAAATTGTCAGAAGTCCCCCGGAGACACAGTTGCACCAGCTGAGAACCACTGCTCTATTAAAACATGTTCTACTTACGTTGGCCATAAATATGCAACCCCGGCTCAGACTTGGGAAGCGGTTCTGGGACGGGCTGAGCAGGGTCTGCATTCAGAAATACATTGGCTAAACGGCAGCAGTGAACGTTGTTCTGAAAATTAGGTTTGCCTTTGGCGTTGTACCTATTTGAAACCTGTAGGACGAATTTTTTAAGTTAATTTTTCCTTCTGATTTTATCTTAATTTTTAAAAGTTTTTTTTATTTTTTAAAAAATAAATGGGCAGGGTATAAATGGAAGAAGCTGAATATTGATAATGGTTCAAGTTGGTGATGAGTACATGAATTCATTGTACTAGTGTCTCTGAGAAAAGTTCACAATATGTTAAGTTTATTTTTTTGTTGTTTTTTGTTTTTTGTGTTATTGAGGCGGCGTCTTGCTCTGTCACCCAGGCTGGAGTACAGTGGCATGATCTCGGCTCACTGCAACCCCCGCCTCCCAGGCTCAAGCAATTCTCGTGCCTCAGTCTCCGGAGTAACTGGGATTACAGGCGCTCACCACCACGCTAGGCTAATTTTTGTATTTTTAGTAGAGACAGGATTTCACCATGTTGACCAGGCTGGTCTCGAACTCCCAACCTCAGGTGATCCACCCACCTCAGCCTCCCAAAGTGCTGGGATTACAGGCGTGAGCCACCACGCCTGGCAGAACGGTAACTTATAAAGGAAAGAGGTTTAATTGGCTCGTGCGTGTGCAGGCTGTACGGGAAGCATAGCGGCTTCTGCTTCTGAGGTGGCCTCAGGAAACTCTGAATCATGGCGGAATGTGAAGGAGAAATAGGCACGTCTTTGGTGGCGGGCGCAGGAGGAAAGGAAGCAGGGGGGATGCCACACACTTCTAAACAACCAGGTCTTGTGAGAACTCACTCATGAGACCAGCACCAAAGGGATGGTGCTTAACTATTCATGAAAGATCCACCCCCACGATCCAGTCACCTCCCACCAGGTCCCACCTCCAACACTGGGGATTACAATTAAACATGAGATATGGGTGGGGACACAGCTCCAACCAAACCATATCATGAATATCTAGGGAGGACCCCAAGTGAAGGGGGCACAGCAAACCGCAAAGGCTCTGAGATGGGGCCAGGCCTTGTACCCTCCAGGTCTAGAAGGGGGTCCTGGGGAACTGTATAGCAGACAAGGGAAAAAATGAATTGAGAGAGGAGACAGAGACCCAGCGCCCATAGGGACAGGCCAGGCACTTAAGACCTGTATTATAAAATAATAATTATTATATCTCCCTCCTCTTCAACCACCATCCCCACACCCAGAACATGTCATCTCCACAGTAGCGAGCATTCAGAGCAGTTATTTCTGGATAACTTTCTCATAGTGTCGCTGTAGCTGAAAGGAAACTTAGCCATCTTCCCTACCTCTGAAGATTTAAGGTAATAAACTCCTACTTCTCCTGTGTCTAAATGTCTATGAATTTTTGTGACCTGCTAATCCTCCTCAACTTCTTTTTATAATTGGAGATAAAAAGGCACATAACTATGAACACCAGGCAAGAAGGACGGACACGGGAGAGGGGAGAAGAAAACTGCAAATGTTAGTTATATTCTTTCAGGAGAGCCTATGTTCCAGTCTTACCAATTATTTGTGAACTTATTTTTTTTATCTTCCTGATGCTGATAACATTTAGAAGTTATAAAGAGATAAAGATTCAATGTAGAAAGCAAGAAGGATAGCTGTTGAGGGAGTAGAAGCCGGGAGGAAGTGGTGACCAATAAGCTAAGGGAAAAAATATCTCCAACGAGAAAGTGTAATTAACTGTATTCAATGCTAACCGGTTAAGTAGGATAGAACGTATTTAATAAATTGATGTTATTGGTGATGACAAAAACCAGCTTTGTTGAGGTGGGTTCAGGGGACAATGACATGAAAGGAACTGAAAATAGCAAAAATAGACAAGAAGGTTTGAAATATTTATGGGTGTAGCATCTGCTTTAATTATTTCTTAGAAAATGGGTGGGTTGTAAATGGAAGAGGCTGAATATTGGTAATTGTAGAAGTTGGTGATGGGTACATGATTTCATTATACTAGTGTCTCTGAGAAAAGTTCATAATATGTTGTTGTTTTTTTAAAGCACGTTATAAGAAGCAATAAATGTGCCAGGGCATATGAACATCAGGTGAATGGAAGTTATCCTGTTTTTTTTCTTTTTAACTGAAATTCATCTTTTTTGAATTAAATCTTAATTGATACATACTGTATATGAAATTTCACTTTATGGTCTAAATCAGAGGCTTCTTATCCTATAGGAAAGATTCATGCTTGTTTTTCAAATTCAGTACAATTCTCCCAGTGATTTCTAGAAGAGAATAAAGAGGAGAGGAGAAGTAGACATCAGAATGTAGAGAGGCAATACTGTGTACAAATGAAAAAGAAAACAAAAAAACACTTTATTTCTATTTTTCCCAGGCTGCACAAATCTGGCTTTGATGAAGAAGCTCAGAAGATGCTGATGTCTGTGGAAGAAAAAATGCCCCACCTGACCATTTCACACGAACCCTGGATTGACGAGGAATACAAGATCAGGGGTGTGCTCCTCTGATGGGGAACACCCTGAAGTAGTCTTCTCACAAAAGCTTTCCTTGGCCACCGTGGGCCCTTCTCCTGGCACCTCTGTCCTGTAATTGTACATCATGGCAGCAGGGCTGTGATTTCAGGGCTACTCCCTGGGTGTTCTAGCAATATGATTATGGAACGTGATTCAGTGTATGTGCTGACTGTCTTTGCCTTGGTCCTATATCCCCTTGTCTTTAGAAACCCCATCCTGCCTTGCGATATTTAGAAGAACAAGTACGTTAAACAAGTGTTAAACGCTCTGGAAAGCATGGCTTTATTTTCTTAATGGATGTCTGAGTGTGTAGGGACGTGCATTTGCAGGCACCACTATCCGGATACTTCTCACATAGAAGTGATGCTAGAATGTGTCTATAGATTGTATTGCTAGCATCCAGACTTTCTAGTTTGCCCAGATTTACATTTGATCAGTTTTCTTGTCCAATAAAAAAAGCATTTCCAAATCTCTACTTATCCTTTTATATATGACACTCCAATAGATGTTTCTAAAAATTCAGTATTATTCAAATGTTTCTATACTGTTTCTATTTTAAAATACAATATTAAACACTTCACTGCCATAATTAAACATTCCCTAGTTCCCTGCAGCAAATTGGTGATGCTTTATTGGCCTGGTCTAAAATTGTTACTACAAAATATAAATGTAAGGTGATACAGAAGCTGGATTATGTAGTATCAGTTATTAGATTGAAATATAATCTCAGATTCTCCTGAGATTGTGAAATTGTGGACCTGCCCCTGGATCTCTTGGCACACGCCTGGATTCTTTGGATACTTGGGAGGCTGAATTTTCTATAGTCTTTAATGTAGAGTGCTTGCACTTATTTGCTTAATTTTACTTGCAGGTTTTCCATATGTTTAAGCAATGATGAACTTTTTCGCCCAATTTTCTATTTGCTTTTGGCCTTTTTCTACAACTTTAAAGAATGCTGGCATAGGCTGGGCGCGGTGGCTCACGCCTGTAATCCCAGCACTTTAGGAGGCCCAGGTGGGTGGATCATGAGGTCAGGAGTTCAAGACCAGCCTAACCAATATGGTAAAACCCTGTCTCCACTAAAAATACAAAAATTAGCTGGACATGGTGGCATGCACCTGTAGTCCCAGCTATTTGGGAGGCTGAGGCAGGAGAATCACTTGAACCTGGGAGGCAGAGGTTGCAGTGAGGTGAGATTGCACTCCTGTACTCCAGCCTGGAGCACAGAGTGAGACTTCGTCTCAAAAAAAAAAAAAAAAAAAAAAAAAAACTGGCATAATCTTCCTGTGTTTCCTTCCCCTACTACCAGCCCACGTGACCAGGAGTGCTGCTTCCATTCAGGAATAAAGGGGGAAAGCCCGGTGGTCCAAAGACAAAGGAAGCAAGGCTGTGTGGACACATGGAAATATAAAAATATGAGTCTCCCAGCAGAGTCGTGTAGAGAGGAACTATGAGATCTGAGATGACATAGAAAAGCTTCAAATGGGGTATCTTCCAGAGTACTCAGACCTGGGGCAGTAAGCAACCTTCACATAACCTTGAAGAGCGGCGGAACTTCACGTCATGGAGAAAACCAGACTCCAGATCATATGCAGACGCTCTGTATTCACAGGCTTCGAGTGTCGGCGTGACTTTAGAAAACTGAAAGAGGGCCGGGCGCCGTGGCTCACGCCTGTAATCCTGACACTTTGGGAGGCCGAGGTGGGCGGATCACCTGAGGTCAGGAGTTCAAGACCCGCCTGGCTAACACGGTGAGACACTGTTTCTACTAAAAATACAAAATCAGCTGGCCGTGGTGGTGGGTGCCTGTAGTCTCAGCTACTCAGGAGGCTGAGGCAGGAGAATGGCGTAAACCTGGGAGGCGGAGGTTGCAGTGAGACGAGATCACGCCATTGCACTCCAGCCTGGGTGACAGAGCGAGACTCCATCCCAAAAAGAAAAACAGCATTGAAGAAAATGCCCAATTGTAAACAGAAAAGGGGAGCCCGGACCCAGTGTTGACTGCCCCTTCCACTCTGATGACACCGGTTCGGAACTTAGATTCTCCCACGGGAGCACAGAAAACTTCCTATGCCACTGGCTCGGCTGCTCTCCACCATCCTCTCACTAATTGCCGAAAGCTGTAACTCACCACCAGAAGGGGCTGGGGATACATTTTGTTCCTCACTGGAGATTCTCCAGACTCTCCCTGCTGACGATGTCGTGGATTCTACAGATGGCATGATAATGCATCTCTGTGGGGAGATCAGCTCCAGGAACTTGCTCCTATAACTAGGGACTCAGGGGCCCCCGCTGCTCCTGACCGACACTTCCCTGCACAGCGCTCTGGAACCCAGAGGAACCAGGTGGGTGCGTCCTTATGTTCGGTCTCAGGGAAGACGACGGGACTTAGTGTCATCCCTCAAGAGACGAACACAGCGCGGTGCTGGTGAAGTCACTTTGTTCAGAGCAGGTGATGACCCTGCCTCACGCTGACATCCCGTTCATGCTCTGGCTGGACAGAGGCAGGTGGCGACCTGCAGGGGAGTGTCTCAGGTAGGACCACAGGTGAGGGTCACTGCAAATCCCTGAGTCCTAGAGAAAGAAGGACAGGGTCTCTTTGGAGTCTGAACCAAACCTTGGATGAACAGACCCACTGA